TATATACATTCCTTTGTCAGAACATAACCCTCTTATTTAGGCTTATTTGCTACAAAAATTGTGCAACAGCTGTAACAGCTTGTGACAAATATTCAGCAATGGCCATATGATATGCATAGAACTTTAACTTAGATTAAATGAAAAGTGTTAAATATTGTTTATTAGCATTAGTCACCTGTGATGCTGTCTTACTTGTAGAGGTCTGTTCCAGGTTCCTAGCTGCAGTGTGGGATCCTCTGCACTCCTGTGCCTTTTTAACTTCAAAGTTTTTCTTTATCCATTGTGCCGTAACACTATTCATGCTAACGGAGCTAACACGACGTCCAAATGTCTGTGGTAAAACTCACCCAAGTGCTATCAGCTATTAGCTTCTCATTGATGTCGGAAATGACAGCTTGTAACTCGGTAACGTTACATCGGAAAAATATCTCAGACTGGTGACGATGTAGCGAGGCTCGACGTAGTCCAGAAATCTTTGGAATCCGACATCCTCACCAACAAAAAATAAAACTTCCACACTGCTGACATTTTGAATTTTCCTCTCCCCTGTGGGTGGGCGCACGTGACGTCATCACGCTGTGCTGCCGCTGCAGACAAAAACAGCGCCTTTTATATCGGCACGTTATTTTAATGGAATGGCCAATGTCCAATATTGAAATTTAACGCTAATATTGTCCGATACAAATACCAAGCAGATAATATTGTGCATCCCCAATATATATATATATATATATATATATATATATATATATATATATATATGTGTGTGTGTGTGTGTATAAAGATTGGTCCATGTCTTATGCAACTAGGTTATACTGATTTACATACACCTCCCATCTCCTGTTTCTATTGAAGTTACGTTTCTCAGATGGTTCTGAGAGGAAAACGTAATGCCACTTCACCTTAGAAAAATCGTAACGTGACAGCTCAGGGGTTCCCTCGGAAGTTTAAAAACATATGATCTAACTCATATGATTAATATGTCTAACAGTTTGGATTAATGGAGTTGATTGACTGATATGATAAGCCAAGAATGAGTTGGAACATGGCTGAGAGCAAAATGGATTGCTGTTGTCACTGAACAACTCTGGTCCTCATCATTTCATGCAGGAGCTGATTGTGCAAAGATTATTTCATGAACCTTTATGTTGCTGTCATTATCACATTACATTATTGTTCCAGTAGATTTATTTATTTATTTATTTATTTTTTGCTACCACTAATCCAAGCTGCCTTCTGCTGCTGGTTGTACTTAGAAAAAGGCATTCTCTTTTATGGAAGGAAAAAAAAAATCTCGTACCATAATGCAAAACTGACTGTAATGTCAGTTTACACTTGATCTCTGTCGTCATTTTGCCCAGCTGTGACCACTCCTTCATCAGCCCGTCTTTTTAGTTTCTTAGTCTTCATCATACCTTCAGTCTGACATAATGTTTTATGACATGTCTGGTCTCCTGCATGTCTCCTCAAGTTGTTTTTTCTAAGTAGTTGCTGCAGCATCAGCCTATGTTTTGTTGTTTGTTTCTTTGTTTATTTAATCCATCCATCCATCCATCCATCCATCCATCCATCCATCCATCCATCCAACCACCCACCCACCCATCCATCCATCCACCCAACCACTGACCCACCCATCCATCCATCTTCCCAACCACCAACCCATACATCCATCTACCCATCCATCCATCCATCCATCCATCCATCCATCCATCCATCCATCCATTATCTTTTACCTGCTTCTTCCTTTTTGGGTCACTGGTGCCCATATCAGTCAGTCACTTTGCGAGAGGCAGGGACACCCTGGACAGGTCTCCAGTCCATCACAGGGACACATAAAGACAAACAACCATTCACTCTCTCACTCACACCTAGAGACAATTTAGAGTTACCAATCAGTCTAACATGCATGTTTTGGCCTTTGGGAGGAAACCGGAGTACCCGGAGAAAACCCACACATGCATCTTTTATTTATTTTTACTTGAGCTCTTTCTGTCAGTCTGCATTCCTGGGTCCTACCTCGATAAACTGTGGAATGTAAAAACATGTTAATAGTGATTCCACAAACGTCTGTGAAATCTTTGAGAGTTGTGTAAAAATTGCATAAATCCACTTTGGACTTGACCCTGCACAGAATAGCTACTAGTCAGAATTAAACTCTTGTTTTTCACCTGAGATCATTCAAAGGGCTGTCAACAAGTAAGATGATAATTGTTCATGAATGTCCACCGAAAACTTCTTAAAATTATATGAACTGTTACTTTAAACCTGATTTATTTGACATGGGCTGGGGGTGAAAACCATAGATACCATATTATATCCAATGCATGGTTACTTATTTTCTTGTGAGCTCATGCTCTCTGTAGTCGTCAACAATGCAATAATATCATTTGGTAGGTCTATTTGATTTAAAGTTAAAGTAAAGCATTGTAAGCTTTAAAAGGCAAACACAAAACCACAACAACACAGGTGCAAAACTCGTTTTTTCCTCAAAAGTCCTCAAACCATCTAGTGATATTATGTGGACGCCAGCCTTTGTCATTTACAGTCTATCTTTTTTGATATTCAGAATTTTGAATGATAGACTTTAACCCACTTTTTTAATGTATGTGTAATCATCTTTGAATTTCTTCTTGTGAGGTTAGAGCTTGCACAAATTTGCAAAGTGCACAGTATAGCTGCCTTTATTTTAAGCTTGTTTGCTTGGCAATTACAAGCTCCTTATTGATGGATTTTGGCATTTGTACAGTTGAAGACACTGTTCAGAGAGCTAATCAAATTTAATCTCTAATTAGGAATACATTAGCGTACCAAACAGTAAAATACCATCTCTGAAAATGGATCTTGAGATCTTCTTAAGTGCTGGACATCTGTCTTTTTCACTTTACGTTCAGACTGCAAAACAGTAAAATTGTAAATTTAATTGCTTTGGCAATTACTTTAAACAAATACTTGCAACACGCTATGAAAGTCATCAAATGTATAAATAGCTTTTTGTTGAAAGTGCCAGGAGCAGCTCGCAGTAATAGCACAAAACGGGTAGTTATTTAAACGAATGACTCCCCCTCTAATCACCCTCTAAAATCTCCCTACATTATAAATATCCTTCAATCCAAAAATGGCAAATAGGCTTTACAGCTTGCAGCCGATTCTTGTTTGTTGCTGCTAGGAAATAGCTTATTTGCTCCTGAAGTGCCCTCTTGCAGCCAATTTGAGCTTTACAGTGGTGTGTAGTGGCAACCAATCTTAGGTCAGTTTAATACCAGCAGAACAGTATGTGAGCTACAGTTGGTCTTGACCCCATCAAACACACACAGCAGGACACATCACTGGTCAATGGAGTGGTCAGCAGGACTGTAGCCTTTATTGAAACACTGCTGTTCCTGTTCCGAGGGCCTGACCTAACACACATATTAACTGCACTAAGTGAGAATCGGAGGAAGTTGTTCTTTCCTGAGTTCTCACTTGCTGCTTGTTGTAATAAGCTACTATATCAGGATGGATTTCAATTTATGCACTGGTACCCTCAAAATTGCATCAGCTCCATCAGCTCCACTTATACATTCCAAACAGAAAACTAAGGGAATGAGGGAGAAAATTTACTCAACTGCCTCTACAAGAAAAAAAAAGGTAAGCCCCAATTGAATTGAATCGAATTGAAGTGTAACCAGAGGACTAACACAGTATATCTGATGTTCTCAGATAACAGGTTGATGCTTGGGATTGGAGGGCGTTCTAATACCTGAAAGTGTATGAAGCTCAATTTTACCCTCAGTCTGAGTCAATATTAATAAGGTTTGATCTTTATCTGATCTCTTCACCCCACCAAGGAGAATATAGATGAGATCAGCGCTCTGTTTGAGCAGCGGTTCGATACATCTCAAGCTCAATAAGACACATCAGGCGGGCAGAGCAGGATGTAGCTTTTGTGCAAATGGTTAAGAAAAATTGAGAATGGCGTTTTCATTTAGGTTTCTGCTGAAAAAAAAAAAGTTATAATAGCATCACATCTGTGGATATGATTTAAGAGGTGTTTAGTGGGTAGCTTGTAAATCCCTGTCTCTAACAATTACCTGGTTAGTTTGGTTACTAGAGCAAATACCACACCAATTCAGAAAAAGTTGGGCTGTTGCGTAAAATGCAAATAAGAACAGAATGAAATGAATAGAAAATACCATAAACCTTAATTTTATTCACAATGAAATATAGTAAATAGATCAAATGTTAAATTGAGAATTTGTACCATTTTTAAAAATAGAAGATTTTAGAACGTTATGGCAGCAACACATTTTTAAGAAGTGGAGACAGGGGCAACGAAGACTGAAAGTATTTTAGTATGACGAAGAAACAAGTGGAACTGAATTTTGCAACAAATTTGGTTATTTACCAACAGGCCAGTAACAGGATTGGGAATAAAAAGAAAATCTTAAAGAGGACAAATCTGTCAATTCGATTCATTTTATTTATATAGCACCAAGTCACAACAGAAGTAATCTCAGGGCACTGAACAAATACATTTATATACATAAAAAATCAATTAGTAAGATTATTTATGTAACGTAAGGTAGCCAGCAGATTGTGTTGAGTCTTCATTTCGTCACAGTCTCCCATCCTGAGCAAGAGCGAGGCAACAGTGGAAAGGACAATCTCCTTTGTAACAGTAAGAAACCTCCAGCAGAACCAGGCTCAGGACAAGGGGCCATCTTCTTCATCCAGCTGGGTTTGAGAGGAACAGGAAGAATGGACACAGAATGGCGAGCAGGTCCCTCAGTATAGGAGGAAAGACAAAAATAATTACAAATACAAACTATTCATTTGTATTAATTTGTAACTATGCATTTGATGATATGAGGTCCATTTGTCCTCTACTAGTCTAAGCCTATAGCAGTATAGGATAAGGGATAGGTCAGGAAACCAAGCCAATCCTAACTATAGGAAAATGAAAGCCTTAAACCTAATCTTAAAAGTAGACAAGGTGTCAATCTCAAGGACAGAAAATGGAAGTTGGTTCCATAAGAGAGGAGTCTGAGAACTGAAAGCTCTACCTCCTATTCTTCTTCTGGAAACTCTAGGAACCACAAGTTTTCATTCAACCTTTATTTATACAGATTAATCCCACTGAGCCTCGGGGACTCATTTACAAGAGAGACCAGATTTCTTTAACAAAAAGTGATGACAAAAGTGAATAACAACAATAGACAATCATAAAAGAGGCATACAAAGTATTTATTTATTTTGCTTACAAGTTTAAATAAAATGGCAACCAAAAGGACAGTCAAAAGGAAAAAGTAGTGAAAAAACAGCTGGGCAGTGTAGAAAACTAAAAACAGGAACAATGTAAGCCTGCAGTCTGAGAGCAAAGTGCTCTGTTAGAAAAATATGGAACAATAAGATCTGTAATATAGGATGGAGCTAGGTAGTTGAGAGCTTTGTAGGTTAGAAGTAAGATTTTGAATTCAGTTCTGAATTTGACAGGGAGCCAATGGAGAGAAGCTAAAACTGGAGAGATATGATCTCTCCTATCAGCTCTCATTGAAACTCTGCCAGAAGCCAAGATGTGCAGGCATTTAACAGTCTACAAATACTGCATTTAAAAACTGTAGCACAGTTTTAAAATGATGTTCTTCAATAAGAAACTGAAATGACTTTGGATATCCCATCTTGTACATGTCATAATATTGTCAAACAATTTCAAGAATCTAGAGAAATTTCTACACAAAGGACAAAGCTAAACATCATTATTGGATGCCTGTGATCCATGGGTCCTCAGGAGGCACTGCAATAAATACAGGTCGGATTTTTTATGGACATCACTGCACGGGCTCAGAAACACTTTCACAAATTATTTTCTATAAACACATTTCACTGTGTCGTTTACAAACCTGGTAGACATTTTATCTCGCAAAGAAAAACTCCATTTGGACACCACCCAGAAAGGCTGCTGCTATCGGTGGGTCATAACTCAAAAATATTAAACTGAGACAAAGGAGAAAACTCAATATTTAATTTTTTTGTCAACCACAGATGCATGTTAGCAGCGTATAGTTCAAACCCTTGCTTCTCTGATGGTATTGGGGTGCATTAGTACCTGGGATGGACATCTTACACATCTGGAAAGGCACCATCAATGCAAAAAAGTAAATACAAGACATGAGATGATTGTTTTTTTTATTTATTTTTCCATAAAAAAAGGTACCTAGTTTCTTTGTTTTAACTTTTGTCATGTCTGCTATATTCCATTGTCAATAAAATATGGTTTTATGATTTGCAAACCATTGCACTCTGCTTTAACTAGATTTTACTCAGTGTCCCAACTTTTTCAGAATATTGATTGTACAAACATGAATGGTGTTAGAGGCATTATGATGCTGATTTAACACAATCTCAATCTCCATATTTCTCTCCTTCCTTTAGATTTAGACTTTTGTAAGAGTGGGCAGCTAAGGAGCCCTGACTACCACATCCATCAGCAACAGCAGCAGCAGCAGCATCAAGAAGAAGAGGAAGAGGTGCTGTGCACTGGACCTGCGACCCACGATCATAATCACAGCTATTCCCTTGGTGTGGGCTCTGACGTAGACACGGAGCCAGAGGTGGACCCCTCTCCTGCTCACGGCCTGCAACACATGTGGATGCGTGGCCTGAAGTCGGAGCAGAGCTCGTGTCTCACAAGCCGCGCTAACTCTGCCCTTTCTCTGACTGACACTGAGCATGACAGGAAGTCCGAGCCAGACAATGGTAAGTGGAACAAAAACTAGCTTTTCTCACTCTTGACATGAAATTAGTGCTCACTGTGAATGAAGTATATGTTGAAGTCAAGGATGTTTGTGCCAGCTGGGTTTTTCAAAATATTCCTCACAGTGTCATTATGGTAATTGGAAATGTCTAGCCAGTGAATGCAAAGAAAAACAACAAATGACATTACACATTTTTTTCAAAGCTTCACGTCGAACCGTGGGCAATCGGCACAATTGAAACTTTGGGATTTTTTTAACTGGATCTCATGCTTGAGGTTCTTGCTCTTTGAAGTGACTTAATGCAGAAAATGTGCTATAGGTTATTTGCTGGGCTTGTATTGGTGGTGATCTCATGGCTGACTGGCAAAACAGTTTGAGGGAAGATGGTGGGCTTCCACTGTGCATTACTGGGAGTATCCATGGAAAACTGGGGCAGGGTTTGATTTAATGCTTTGAAGCAAAGGAATTGAATCGGTCAGAATTTTCCAGTCCTCAACTGGCTGCCTGAGGGCAACTGACAACCACCTTAGTGGGAAGACCACGGAGCATGGGAGGAGGACAAGTTGAGAGGTAGGGATGATGATACTGGGCCAAGTAGAGAAGAGTCTGAGACGGCGCCAACTATCTGTCGTGCACTGCTGGGCTTGGCTTGGCTCCCTGCAGATGGAGAGTTAGTTAGAGGTGCACACAAACAAAAGCAGAGTTCTCCAACCCATCCCCAAGGGCGCTGTCTGTTTATGTGCCGCAAAAACGGTGGAACAAATTCTGTGGCTGAAAAGAAGATGGGTGATACAGGAGGAGAGAGGGGGTGTGGGGTGGGAAGAATTAGAGATGGAAAGAATAAGAGACAGGCTGAGCAAAAATGCAAATGAGAGAACAGAAATGGTAATGTAATGGTATAATTAGAATGAAAATAAAGGGAAATGAGTGGTTGGGTTAAAAGAGGTGAAGGAGAAGCCAGCTTCGAGTGCTCCACAAAGATGGTGGGAGGTCGAGGGAACTGAGACTGAAGGAGTGACGGAACATGTGAAAAAGGTTTTAAGATGTGCTTGTTTGTGTTGCACCCAGGGGTTCTGTTAAATGACTGTCAGAGTGGATGTGGAATCAGCCTTAAAAAATAAATAAATCACAGGATGCAAGAGGTGAGGATGTGAAGGGAAGCGGTAGTGCTGGTGGCATTACACAGTAATCAATTTGTGACGGGTGCACGTGTGTGTGTGTGCAGAGAAGCTATTACCATTTGAGATGACCCCCATGCTTATCCAGGGTCAGAACAAAAAAATCCCAAAGACAGGGACAGAATACGTGAATGCTCAGGAGAAACAAAAAGGATAAAGTGACTGAGGATTTAATGTTTTTTGGGTTTATTACCACACTGCACCAGCTAAGCTGATAGATTCCACGTGGCATGATGATGAATGTCCTAATGTCCAAACTTTGAAACAACCTCAAAGCTCTTTCTTATATGCACACCACAAATTCAAAGAACGGATAAGCTGTATTTGAGTATCTATGTAAATATTAAAAGTAATAATATCTGAGCTATATAGCTTTTTGAACAGCCTCAGTTTGAAGAAGATGAAGACTAATAAGCTTCTGGTTTGTCCAATACAGGCAAGACCAACGTGGATCGTTGCTATTTTATAAACACCTCCAGTCATAGTTCACGTAAATGCTGTTGTTTAAATTATTCCACCTTTTGTTCATTTTCAAGATTATTTTGGTAGAAATACTGAGAAATTGCAAATGACTCCAGGATCAGGGGCACCTTCAAAAAGTGTCCAAATGGCTGGCCAAAAAAAAGTTACTGATATTTTTGATTTGGCTCACAAAACCAAAAGCCGTACCAAAATTTGAGTTTTATAATGCTATTGTTATATAACAAAAAAAGGTTAAATCATGTTGTTATCTACCTGGATGATAGAGCTTACAAACATTTTTTTCTCTTGTTATATATTGGTAGTTTATAGGCTATGCATTTTGTGCATTGTACATTTTGCATAAAAATACAGTATTTGGCCGGTTAAGGAATCTCCTTCTAATTTAATCTTCGTTCAAATTTTTTTTAAATTTATATTATATATAGCTGTTAACACAAACTGAGAACTAAATAGTCACTACTCAACTTTAAAAAGCTCTCCTAAATGCATCCGTATATATTACACATAGAATGAAAGGGGTCAGTGCAAAGTGGCAAATAGTTTATAGGGGTAGTTCTCTGCTCCCCACCCCCAATCCCCATTTAATCCCTGCCTCTGGCCTGCAAGTGCTACACTTTGTTGCTGCTGATGCATTTACACTTTTAAATAAACATAGCAATGCAAACTTGGTGCTTGTGTTAAGGTTTATAAAGTAGCACTCACATGAATCTGTATGTAATTTGTAGGGGTCCAAGCCAGCAGAGGCAGGGAAACAGCTGCAAAGCAGCAGCGTTTCCATCTATGGAGCCCTATTGAAACTGTTCCGTTCTTTTTTTTTTTTTTTTTTTGGTAAATAAAGTCATACTGCAGCCCCAACTGCAAATAATAGTAAGATGATATTTATCAGATCGTAAGTATGGCCTACGCATACGGCCGACAAACTGTAAGTCACAGTTTTATGGCTCTATCTATTGTACACATACATGCACATTTCCACTTAAAATTATTATTTTTATATCACAAAACTTGAAAAAAATAAAAAATAAATAAATAACTTGACTGGTTTTCTAAGGTTTTGAGTTTGATGACTATAAAACTCCCCAACTAAAATCTAGATACCATCTGTATTACAAGTTTCCAAGGATTTCTTTAAAAACATGTAAGATATGCCTACACAAATGTTCTGACAAACTAGCTAAACACAAATTTGGTCATATTTTCTTAACTAGAAAATTGTATGAAAATAAAACTCCTGTTTTCCTGTTAGGGGAGTTCATTATGAATTATTGGACCAAATTTGTTAAAATAAAGAAAATTAAAGGATGCTTCTATCTTCTGTTTTCTTCTTCTTCTGGCTGCTTCCATATTCAGGGGTCGCCACAGCGAACAAAGTCGCACAAAACTTGGTGATTATTTTTGGCTGTCACGAGAAGAACATTGATATTTTTCTTTTAAAATAAATCAATTGTTCACATTTTTTGGGTTGTATTTTATTTAATGCTCGACACTCAAAATTATTATTTTTTTCCTTTTAAAACTTATTAACCTAAGGGGTTTGAATAAAAATTGCTTATGTACAGAAAGCATAGCCAGTGATTGTTAAACATTTTCAAAATGTATTGCCAATCTGGTGAAATTTTGTGATTTTTACAATTTAAAGTCTCATAGTAATTGACAAATAGACTTTTTCAGAAGACAATTCTGAGAAATGGCCACACAGCCTGTACTATGTTTGCGCTCCCTCTGGCAGTTCATAAGTCACCGATGGAGCTGCTCCCCTACACGTGCTCAAATGAGCGTCCGGTGCACAGCAAGCAGTGTGGACTCAAAAGAGGTGTGGACAAAAAAAAATCTCAGCTGCTTTGACGTGTTGTTCCACTAAAGTTGCTGATGAGAGCAACAGGAGTCAGCGAATGGCTTTTGCTCCAAATTACGTTGCGCAGATCAAAGTATACGTCCAGCTGCGACCACTTCAACTGTTGAGGTCCTGTACTTGGTGAAATTTTCTTTTTAGGGTTTAAAGTTTTAAAAAAAAAGTGATTCTTGTCACGGTTGTATCCACACTCCTGCATACTTTTTGCCAGTCTCTCCAAAATCACCCCATTCATCACTGTGCCAGTAAAGTTTGTGTTTATTTCCTCCTCTGCACGTAGAGCAAGGAGCCTGCAAGTCTCCAAATCATCCCTGTTTGCCATCAGATAGAATTTTTTTTTCATTTAGCCTTTATTTATCCAGGTTAGTCTCATTGAGCCACGAGAACTCATTTTCAAGAGAGACCTGTTTAGGGAGCACATGGTGGGGGTTAAGGGCCTTGCTCATGGGCCCAGAGTGGGGCGAATGAGGGTGAGGGCAAGTGTGGGTGTTTCACCTACCCCACCCACAATTTTGATGTTGTCGGGGCCGGGGCGTGAACCGGCGATCTTCGGATCACAAATAATTACACAAATCAGGTTGTTTGTGAAAGCGAAAAAACACAAAAAGTTCAAATCTGAAAGTAGTTTAGGGCTATGATGTTTTGACTGTTAAATGGGTAGCTTTTCCCCTCACCCTCCTTTATTGATACCTCAGTGTCAGATTTCAGTAGGTAGAACAAAATACCGCTCCAAGGTGGAGTTAGGACTGCATCGACGGTCAGCTCCAAGCCCTTTTTTATTTGCTCTGGTGATGAAGAGACTATAACAGGATTTCCTGTGGACAGTGATGTCTGCATATGTTATTTTAACCTGTGGTGAGGACAAGGAACAGGTGGAAGACAACTTGGGGAGGTGCCGGTATGCACTTGAAAGACGAGAACTAAAAGTCAGCTACTGCAAAACAAAGTACGTGTGTCAGAATGGGAGGGGAACAGTGAGGCTACAAAGAGCAGTGGTCAAAAAGGCAAAGGACTTCAAGTATTTGGGGTCAACTGCTCAGGAAAATGAGGTGAAACGATGAAGAAAACAGTTCCGGCAAGATGGAGTGGATGGAGAAACATTTTTGGTTTGATCTATGACAAAAGGTTAGCAGCAAACGTCAAACAAATAGATTATGTATGATATGGCCGGTGAGACTGACAAAAAGCAGACATAACTGGAAGTAGCCAAGGTTCTCCTTGAGGGTGACAAGGTTGGCTAGTAATAAGATCATCAGAGGTACAGCACAGGTTTAAGGACAGGGAGATAAACTTAGAGAGGCCTGACTGAGATGGTTGGGACATGTCCAGACGAGAGACAATGGATATATTCATAGAAGGATATTAGCAATGCAGCTGCCAGAAAAAAAAGACAAAGAATAAGGCAGAAGAGGAGATATATGGCTGCAGTTAGAGAGGACGTGGAGGTAGTTAGAGTAAGGACAGAGGGTGCAGAGGGAAAAAGAGATA